TCGCCAGTAATTATGTATCATTTTCATGATTTTTATGTAATAGTATATTACGTAACGAGTGTTGAAAGCGATACTTTTCACACGAGTGTGAAAAGTGGCTTTCAAACGAGTCATGTACACTATTTTTCCTACGACTCTCCATACAACCAAAAATATACTTACATAATGAAACAAAAGTTATTTTATTTCGAACCAACTACTAAAACTATCTAAAAATACGAAATATATAGATTCAATTTCTCTTTAACGAACTATTGTTATAATTACTTTAGCAAAGAGGTACTTGCGAGGGTACTTGTCGTTTGGAGCTTCTGCAAGAAATTTACTAATATTATTAGACGTACGCTACTTTTCATACCTCAGCCGCAATTTAGTTGATAGTAATTCGAGTGTAGTGGATTTTGCCTCTTCCCTGATGTTGGGTGGAGTACACTCTACATCCATGGAAGAATCACTTTCCGCCATTAAAATTAAATAAGGAATTAAACGCGTAGCACAAGGGAATAAACTCAAGAATAAACTAATCGCAATTTTAGAGTTTGACGTACGCCTACTACGTTGAAGTTACAAGAAGATTAGACTACTACGAAAGCAAAACGTAACATGCGATTTGCTTTCTAATATATGGTAGATCTTATGAGAAAGCAAATCACACGGGTGCGTTTTGTTTTCCGTTACATTTTGCCATAAGTGAGCGAAATTGTCAATTTTCAAGTAAACATAATTGTAAGACATATGTCATTTTCAATGAAAGTCGTAGGAAAAAGATATTTCATAATAAATGACAAGGTGCCGCTTTTAAATTTTAAGTTTGACGTTTCGTCTCCAGTCAACCATCATCAACTTTGTTTTTTCTTATGGAACTAATCTTTACTTTTTGTGTTACTTGATAGACAATTTTTTTCTGATTATAAAATTTAAACCTTTTAACCTTTTAAATCTTTTAATCAGAAATGGCGCTATTAATTCGTAAAAAACGCAAGAAACTACGTAGGTACACTACCCAAGACAAAGTTTTCTAGGCAAAAAAGAAGATATTTTAACAATATTTAAAAAAATTGTGACATTTGTGAAATCAGAAAAAAATTCTGAATCAAATGACACAAAAAGTAACTTCAGATAAAAACGATTTTGCAAAATTTCGTTTTTTTCCGGATATCTTCGAAAGTAGTCGGAATTTTTTCAGTTTCAAAACTGCATTTTGTTAAGCATCAAAATACGCAACTTTGCCAAATTTAAACTACCTACTTTTCTCTTAAAAGTTTCCGATATCCCCATGGTGGCTCTCGAATTTCCATCAACCTCCTTTATAATTAGTAATTCACGGTTGGTTGGGAGTGTTTCGGAAAATGTTTAATTGGAATCATCGGTATTATTCTAAAATAAACCCCAATAAGTACTTGTAACCAATATGCTGAACGATGTGCCTCAGGGTGCAGCTGGGTTCCGAAACGCTGGAAAATCATAACACTGACTTAACCGACAAAACGCGAGCACTTGTTTACAATGCAATTCCTTATCTCTAAAATTGACACCTGTGCCATCGCATATCTCATTCAATTAAATTTTACTTTGATAAAGTCCCTTTATCAAGCATATGTGAGTTAATTTCCGTGAAGACGCAATATTCTTTACTTGTTGCTTAAATTCTGCATTCTAAATTACAAAAAAAGAACAATTACAACCTACTAAATTACCTAAAATTAAATGAAACTGAACAATCATGTTTCTATTTGTAATTCATTCCACCTCCGTTTCTAATTACTTTTAATAAAGTTAAGTACAGGCTGTGCCGCTTGTCATTTCCATATCTTTTTAAACGAAAATTATGCTACTCATGCGCTTTCTTTAGCAGCGCAGGAAGGAAGACCCTTATTGTCGGCATTATTTTAACCTAAAGGGCATACCCCCCTGGTTTACATAGCAATATATAATTTTTTCTCATTTTCACACCAAACTTCATCGCACGTCCCCTTTGGGCTTTGCCCTTCGACGGGGCGAGGTTTCTTAATCTCGCTTCTCCAGGCTCGAGCTTTTTTGAACGCGTACATTCCTTAAGAGCGAGTTGCAGGTGATTTCTGGAAGGACGCATTACATTTTCCTACAATTATGTGTGAGAGAATACTATGGTGCAAATTTTATGGAAGCCGCATATTTAGGGGAATAATTACTATGATCAGTTCCGAATCTGAGGGATCGGAGGATTTGAAGAATTTGGAGAATCCAAAGAATTCGACAAAAACAACAGAATGCTAAGAGTCTGCTGAATTTGAAAAATCTGCTGTAAAATATCAGCATCAGAATTTAAAAAAAAAACAAAAGATCTCGAAAATCTCATAGATATTAATAGAGATGTGTCCGAAATATATTCGACCTGCGTTCATATCTTCGCGTCAGATGGGTCTCGCGGCGCCTGCGGGAACCTTATTTATCGCCTCCCTTTGAATTTTAAGAAACTGTTCATGCGTATCGCCTACGATATATCGCTTATCGTATATGTATGAACGACGCCTTATTGGTGATGAATCATGGGTTTATTGGTTACGGTCCTGAAACTAAACAACAAGTAAAGCAAAACCACAATAACATATTAAGATTCGGATACGTTTCGACAGCAAGGCTGTCATCATCAGCGAACAAGTCGCCTTACTGTCGAAACGCGTTCGATTGTTGCGGTTTACTAGTGTTTTTGTTCTACTTTTGCCAGTTCAACAGCCACGCGTGGTTCCAATGCTTCCAGCTAAACAACAATCTCCACAGTGCAAGCGTCCAGACGAGCCATGGCCGAAAAAAGCCCTCATAGTCGGAGCCAACTCAAGCCGATGCTGATTGTTTTTTTAGGTTGTGAGTGTGTTGTGCATTGTGACTTTGCTCCAAACGATAGGGGTTTGACGACATCGAGATGACTCAGAGTAACGCGACGCGGGAGCTGAAGCTCATTTCAAAGTCTGCGTTCGAGAATTGATTTAAGATGTGGAAGTACCGCTGGGAGCATGTAGTTCAATCAATTGGGGACTACTTCTAAGGATGCCACGGCCCGGATGACGAAGAATAGACGCAGATGGGAAACACCTCGTATTTGCAAAAAAGGACCCTAATGCATTAACGAGTCTAAAAAGCGGAAGAAGGAGCTGAGAAATCTGATAGAAGAATCCCAAGAATCTGATGAAGCCCATAAATCCGATGTAAAAAGAACGAATTCGGACAATTTTAGAACTAAGAATTTGATTCATTTGAAGAATGACAAAACACCGAAGATTCTGAAGAAACAGAAGGCCCAAAGACTCCAAGGAAATGGAAAAACTTGAAAAAGTTGAAAGATGTCAGCCGATAAAAATGTAAAGAATGTGAAAAATCGAAAGAATTCAAAGGCACATAAGGATCCGAAGAATCATGAACATACAGAATCTAAAAAATGAGTAGAATTCAAACAATAGGCGAATCCAAGGTATCTTAAGTATTTGATCTTAAGTACTTGAAAAATAGGAAGAATTCGACGAAATGGAAGAATCCTACAAGTCGCACGAATTTGAAAGCTGAAGAACCTGAGAAATGGAATAATCACTGCACATGGCTCGCGTCCTTAAGATCGTCTCTGCTATTACTGGGTGGCAGTATAAATATCCTAAAATTGAAGCATAAGTGAGAAAGATACGAAGAAAGGAAAGTATTCAAAGACCCTGAAGTATCAAAAAAATTCAAACAGGTAATCCGAAGAATGCTGAAGAAATAGCAGAATAGAAAAATTTGAGAATCAGAATCAATCAATAAACTTAGCACAGCATCACAAGTCCGATGGGATTTTGAACCAACGAATCAAGGAATGCAAAGAGCCGAAAAAGTAAAAAAATATAAGACCTGAAGAACCAGAAGAAGCTGGGCGGTTAAAAAACCCCCTGAAGAATCGTTTTTACAGGATCATCGCTACATACTACGTTTTTGATACACCCTCTATCATGGAATGCCGTACATGTATAAGGATGCGACCTACCACACTATTTGTGGGAGCCGGTTACTAGCATCCGAGCTTGTCTCGAGTGGTGAAGTGACTTGAGCTTCTAAAGTGAGACCCAAGTGCGTGTGAGAAAAGTCCGAAGGAGCGGTTATTTTTATTTTGATGACGATCACATTCTCTGCATCTACCAGGCCGGACACGAATAGAAAACAATACATTAACGTAAAGGATATTACAATCCTTCGAATTTAATTAACAAATAACTTAAATTCCTAAAAAAATTTATAAAACTCATTATTTATAAGGAAGAAACTGTATCAAATTCAATCCTTTCCTCTTAGGAAACAATTCGCAGTGCAAACTTGCACCTCTTGGACAATATTTCTGTGGGCGCCCATGTGAATCACATTACAAAATGAAAAATGTCTTATATCCATATCGCGTTTTTTGTGGTCAACGCGGCGTACTTACTAAAAGGTTGCGTAAAATTCGTGCGGATCAGGATATCCGACTTCCTTTTCGTAAATACAACTCTCACAGGTACTGTAAATCTATGATAATATGAGCCGAGCGTATTTTATTCCGAGGAATTTCCAGGTGCCAATTTTCCCCGTATAATCGTCGAAGTGTGGTCACCGGGAAACCCGAGACCGAGATGAACCAGGAAGTAAAATGATGCTCGGTAAAGGGAATAATAGCCTGATGATTTCAGTTAGGTATAACGAATTATTATCTTTTACATCAGATGCACTAAATCTTGATAACGCCTGTTCCATAGAATTTCCATTTGATTAATAGTAAATGGATGTATTATTGTAATTTCACAACAACCCGATTTGCATGTTGATTCTGAATACTAATGGTAAATCCAGATTAGATACCAATAAACCAATGTATATAAACTGTTTACGTTACAAGATAGCGGAATCCCCCAAAAAGAAGGTGTTAACCATAAACAAGTTTTATAACTGTACGGGATGGTAATGAATGAAACGATTAGATTCGAGTGATGACGCCGGTTTTTACGCATTATTAAAAACCACAATGTTTCTCGTCTTTAGTAAAAAGACAGCGGTCGCCACAATCACTCCACGTATAGTTTGTATAATTTCGAAAAATGGACTGCGGGTGTAACGCCCCTTATGTAGGGCCTTCGCTAGAGAACACGTGTGGTGGTGGTGGTGCGTTTGTAATTTTTATGTCTCTTTTAGACACTTTTATTCGCAACAAATGTGACTTATCGGATGTATGTAACCGAGTGATGCCAAAATTTGAGCCCGATCCCGAATATGACTTCGTCGTGATAGGTGGCGGTAGTTCTGGATCAGTGGTAGCCGGCCGTCTTTCCGAAGTGCCCAACTGGAAAGTTCTACTGATAGAAGCGGGTGGCGACGAACCACCCGGTTCTCAAGTACCTTCGATGGTTATCAACTACCATGACAATCCCGATATGGATTGGAAGTACAAAACTGAACCAGAACCAAAGGCGTGCTCTGGCTACCCTGAGCGACGATGCAATTGGATCCGTGGTAAAGTACTTGGGGGTTGCAGCGTTATCAACGGAATGATGTACATGAGAGGAGTACCGAGAGATTACGATAACTGGGAGAAGGCTGGCAATCCAGGGTGGAATTACAATGACGTACTTCCGTACTTCATGCACGCCGAATCCAACATGGAAATTGGTACCGTAGCGGATCCCGGGTACCACGGTACTGCGGGACCTATGACCGTTAATAAATTTCGCGATCAACCCGAACTAGCGCAAGACATTCTGGATGCCGCGAAAGAATTGGGTTATTCTGTGAGCAATGACCTTAACGGAAAATTTTATGATGGATTTACAATTGCTCAATCCACCACCAGGTAAACATGTATTACCTTCATTTATCGATCATTACCCTCACACGCGAAAAGGAAGACACTTGATAATTACCTAATGTGACATAATACATAATTGAGTCATCAATTAACGTAAATACAGAATTAAACAAAGGTTTACCTCAATGTTGCATTAATTACATTTTATAGTTTTCCCATAATTCTATAAAATGCAATTAGTGTTTGCTAATCACGTTTGAATATTTTGTTTGACAAATATAGGTTCTAGGAAGAGCTGTACACAAAAATTGATTCGTATCTGCTATATAACACAATTTAATCATTTACTAGAGGTAATGTAACTGTAACGGTATTCATTTTCCATACATTTCGGGTTTGGTCTCAAAGTGTGTACTATTAATGCATAATAATGAATGTTCGCAGCGCCACAAAATGCAACGGACTGTGTCTAGTCCCGTCTAGGTTCTAGACCGTCTAGGAACCACTTGCTGTATTTATCATAAACAATTACTCAATGTAGCTCATACGGAGAATATTCCAGAATAATTTACGCTCTGATTGCGCCACAATATTACATGTGCGTAATCCCGAAAAACCTTGTTGAAATATCGTTTTATCAAAACACTATTTTATTTAAATTATTGAATTTGGTATTAGTACCTTCTTGTGAAAACCAATTGCAATTACCATCTTTCAGTAATAAGGAGGTTTTTACTAAGTTTCATTTTTCAAGAATTCTGAGCTCGATTCTGAGATTTAAATTGTTTAAAATTTTTCGTCAGTATTTTGGTCTGGAAATAATTTAAAAATCCGAAAAAAATCAGAATCGTTGATATTAATTTTGACCATTTTATTCACGAGGTTTCGTTGCGGATAATTGCGAATAAATGCAGGTTAATTATCTTTTAAAGTACCTGCCGTATGCCGTTGTATACGAAATTTTATTTAACGCACAAGGCGCTGTGCCATGACGTCACTCAACTTTGAGAAATTTGCTTTTAATCAAACGTTACATTTGGAGATCCGAACAAACTTATTTGTTATCACAATGAGTTTAATGTAAGTTTAATTTTACAGTTTTTTATCTAAAAAGCAGTTTTCCTATTCGAAAATGTTCCTTCGCGTATATTTTCCCATTCGTAAATCAAAGACCGTGCTACGAATGAGGCTGCTAAAAAGTTTTTTCTTCGTCCAGGAATCCGTTTATTCGTTTACGTACACGAAATGTAGGAGTTCTCGCTACTTAATATGTTTTTACGTGAAGTAATGACTTCACTCAATAAATGCACGTTCTAGTTCTTGAAACACGACGTTGAAGGATCGCGAAAATGACTAAACGCGTCTTTGACTATAACTGACCGTGACGTATTCTGTGTGTGGCCGGCTTAAGCAATCAGTGGCAGTGTACCTCATGTAGTATGTTACCAATCGCCAAAATTGGCTTAGAATTAAATTTTAACGCACCAAAAATGGTACCTTTCGACTCGCGAAATCTAGCTTTGAATTAATTTTTTAATGCACCGAAAATGGTACGTTTCGAATCGCGAAATGAAGTTTAGAACCCGCTTTCCCACTTCTCTCGCTATTGAAGTCTCGACTGGCGTACCTTTTTAAACGAATAGTAAACATGCATTTTTGTCACGTGTTCGGCTACAAACAGAATGGAACGAAATTCTTAGTTCGAAGAGATCATGGCGACCGGGCTCAAATCCCCAATACGGTTATTTGTTATCGCCAGACATACTTTTGATCATGTTAGCTATAAAGCGGCAGGTGTAAATTTTTGTATGTTTAATAAAATACAAATATCCAAATTTTTGAAACGGCAAAGCGGTCATTTTTTACATCCTCTGTTTGAGTTGAATCTCCGTCGAGCAATGCTTGCAATTCGGTGTCTTGAACTAAACTTGAACCAAACTTTTTCTGTGCTCCCTCGCGTTCTTTATCTGCAACATCGAAATTTCCCTCTCTGAATCGCAGCTGCATTTATGGGATAGAGCACAACCGTCATAAGCCTTTACCAGAATTCCGTGAGCTTCAGCACACTTTTCTGAATAAAATAGTCGCTGTCCGTAAATCCTTTTTTTCTGGGACCAAATTGTAAATGCGTAGCGTGATGTAAAAAAAGTATTTTTCCCGATAAGTCGATAAATGAACTTTAAATTAAAAAAATTAGATGTCAAATGTCTGGAAACTAAAGTCATCAAGCGAAAATTAACAGAACTGATTTACAGTAGGATTTTGATATCATTACATACACATTCTGAGAACAGGAGCTATGACTATAGTCAGAAATATCACATAGCCTTAGCTTTAATTTTTAAAAAATATTCGAGATTTTAAGAGGAAACCCAAAACGTATACTTATTTCTCTAGAATTCTTAGGTTTTTTTTCATATTAGGAATTATTATGCTCTATGACATGCTCGTCGTAATAACAGTTTAGTAAATTCTTAAAAGACAGAGAAAACACTGTTGCGCGACATTACTCATAAAAACAATATTCTAAATTAACTCTCGTTTTCCTATGATGGCGCCGTTATAATATATACATATGCTTTTTTTTTCAGAAATGGATCTCGATTAAGTACGGCCAAAGCATACTTAAGACCTGCAAGAAGTCGACCAAACCTGCACATTATGCTCAACTCTACCGCGACGAAGATAGAATTTGCATCAGACAATCGCCAGAAAAGAGTTTCTGCCGTCCAATTCTTCTACAATAACAAGCTGTTTACCGTCCGAGTGCGTCGCGAAGCGATTCTAAGCGCGGGAGCGGTAAACTCCCCCCATTTACTTTTACTGTCCGGAGTAGGACCCATCTCAGAGTTGGAGAGGGTGGGAATAAAACAAGTGCATGAACTTCCAGGTGTCGGCCACAACCTGCACAACCACGTGACGTTCTATTTGAGCTTCACAATGAGGAATCGTAAGGCGATCAACGATCTTGATTGGCCAACCGCGATGGACTACTTACTTAATCGCCGAGGACCGTTGTCCTCGACGGGTATGTCTCAAGTTACCGGACGAATTAACTCGAAGTTTGCCGATCCGAGCGGAAATCACCCAGATCTTCAGTTCTTCTTTAGCGGGTACCTCGCGAATTGCGCCGCGTCCGGGAGTTATCATACCGCTCAGGATCCGAAACAGCCGAACGCACCTAGAACTATAACGATGTCACCTGTCGTCCTACATCCGAAAAGCAGAGGGCGGATTGGTTTAAGCTCAAAAGATCCCTTAGAGCCTCCTCTCATTTACGCCAACTATTTAACCGAGCAAGAAGATATCGTTCCGTTAGTTGAAGGTATTCGGATTGCGCAACGGTTGGCTAACACCAAAATTTTGAGGTACAAGTACGGTTTGGATTTAGTGAAAGGAGATTATGGCGATTGCGATAAGAAGCACGCATATGATTCGGATGATTATTGGGTATGTGCAATGCTTCACTCCACTGGACCCGAAAATCATCAAGCAGGTTCCTGTAAAATGGGGCCGGCAAGTGATCCTAATGCAGTTGTCGATAACAAACTGCGGGTGCACGGAATTATCGGTTTACGTGTAATGGATGCTTCCATTATGCCATCCGTGGTATCCGGCAACACTGACGCTACTTGCGTGATGATCGCGGAGAGGGGAGTTTCTTTCATTAAAGAGAGGTGGTTACGGATGCAGGGAAATGACAGGGCTAACATTGGTCCTCGATATCGAAATACGAAAGATGAGTACGAGTTTGTAACCGTCCAGCAGCAGCCTCGTCATCATACGCACCACGTTCACGATCATTCACATCCTCACCATCACGTTGGACAGTCCTACCCGAATTTCAGACATTCGGATGAATTCCATCGAAAACATCCCCATTTACCTAATCCCTTGCAAAGTTAATGTTAATTGTTCAATAACTTCTTTCGTAAACTTTGGTTGTTACTGTCTTACTGAACTTAACTCTCAATTTCATCCTGGAGATCTTGAGGTTTGAGACCATGCGTGACTGTTTCTTTCTTCAAGAAGCGCAAATTAAAGTAACTATTAACTAGGTTATTTTCCGTATATACGTATGGAGTTCTAGGCTGGAAGCAAATAAAGTAATGAGTATGATTTGTATTTATTTTAAGTGTCTTAATTTGAATCTTAGAACCCCTTCCCACGAGGCGTTTTTGAACCGCTGCAGAGTGGCACCGCTGGCAGCGATGTTTACCCCTTTACCTCCAGCACCGGAAAGAAAGAAGAACGTTTTTGAAATTTCTTCATTCACCGCATCTATCATCTTGCATTAGATCCTGTTTATATTTTATATAAAGATGGTTTTTGTTGGCTTGTTGCGAAGAGAAGACGAAGCTCGCTAAGCATTTTGAAAACGCAAGCTTCCTTCATAGTTTCATCCCACTCCTATTAGATGTAACGCCTTGGCTGCTTCAGAGAATGTCTCACACGTGACATTACCTGCAGTCCCTAGATCTTCAAGCGACCGTGCACCTTCTACAATCGTGAGATTGCAAAATCTTTCAAAATACCTGAGGGAAACAGAATACATTTGAGAAAGGATAGTGCAGAGTCCACGTTTGCGACATACCCAACGATTTGTTTTCCAGACACAATGGTTAAGGAAGGGGTTGTCACGAACTACGATTAACCAATAGTGTACCGTTTATTGTCAAACTTCTTCCATTGTTCCTTCTCCTTGTTACGTTCATAATGGGCCAACGTGACAAAATTACCTTAGATAAGCACACGGTAAGCTCAGGCAAAGTAGAGGTGGGTCGGGGTGAATATAGGGTTCTTCTATACAAACACAAATAAGCCAAAAAGGGAAGGAAACGGTCAAAGTAATCCGAATAGGCGCCACTTAGTCTTTGACAAATCTAGAGCGAGAGAGAGAGAGGAATACTTACTAAAGGGATAAACAAGGCAGACTAAGAGATCCTTGTTCTCGTCTTACTAAACTCGAAGGAATACACAATTGTAGGGAAAGAAACATAAACAGTATTTGATGTCATAAATGCGGGTGGTTTAATACTTTAATACAATGATCTCAAAATATCACAAATCTGACACTGTAATATATAGATCTGGTATGTCAAATTGGGAATTTAAAATAATCTCTAATAAAAACAAATGAGAAGCCAACACGTAGCCGGGGAAAGTATTTATCGAAAAGGGGCTTCCGCAGAAACAACGGAGCTATAATCATTAAGTGACTTTCAAACAAAGTAAGTCACAATTCATTAGTATCAAAACCCAAAATGTAATCAAACGTTAAAAGGGAAAAACGACGAAAACAACTAAATTCACCTTTGAACTACGGTCGCAACCTTCTGAGCTCAGAGGACGCGAAACTGCAAATCTGTAAACAGACAGACACACAAACAAAAAATATAAGAAAAGTAATGATTCGCGTTGCACAATATATCGCATAAGCAATGGTTAACGTAAGACACGAAGGGTTATTCTTATACGTAGAATTGCAATCAATACTAAAAAGAATCAAAAATTCAAATGACTTTACGACAAAACAAAATTTAGTTCGACTAAGGGTTGGTTTTTACAATCGGTATGAGATATCAAAAAGTGACATGAAGTCTTAGGAAAAAAATACTATAAAATGTACAAATAACTGAATCTCTCTTCAATGACAAAGAAATCTTATCAATTCAAATGAAAACAAACTTACGCGAGGAAGTTCTTCAGAGCAAAATACATAACGTTAATTAAAATTGTATAAATTTGCTTCGATCGTAGATGATATTATCGTTAATCTAAACTTCGGTAACTGGGTATACAGATACACACGAACGATTTACACAGTACCAACTCCACACGTCTTGTTATTTAGGTACTTGCGTTTCGGAGGAATCAATCGTAGGTAAACGAACTGGGTCATCAGTTCAAATCGGTTTCGAACGAAATGGCTGTCATTCTTCAGTCGATAAGGTAGAAATATGCAGGGCGTTTTTAATGGGAATGGCGCCGAAGTTTCAATGGAATTCTCTTACACAATATCGAAAATCGGGAATTCGCGTTTTCACTTAGAAGTATCAATGCAGATACAGAAAGGAATTGGTAACTCCCAAAATAAGAAGTAAGAAAACTCAGGGAGTACGAAAGTAGACTGAAATGGATTATTTAAAGTAAAAAGACAATGCGTAGTCATAGATAACGTACCGTAAACGACCTTAAACTTGTAAGATAAATCCGCAGAAATGCGTCAGCGAAGTTGGAAGTAAGATAATAAGAGAAAAACTCCACTAATCTTATTACAAACACCACATATAATATCCCAAAAAGGTAGACAATAATGTCAAGTAAGTGTAATGGCGTGTAGCTCAAGTACAAGTCAAGATCGATTCGAGTTTCAACACGGTCTGCGCGCGCCAACAGCAAGTGGGAAAGAAAGCTATATCAAAAATAACGGATCGGGTATGGTAAAGAAAATAACGTCACATCCTGTATTGTAGATATCCTTCAACGAGCTGTCACGTAATATTTCGTTATAGTGCTTCCATTACCGTGCTAACTGCTAACCCCCCCCCTCCAATTTACGCCAATTGTAGTATACAGGGTGCGCCGCGACTGGACTGGCCGAGGTGATAGTGATCTGTCAATCATATACGTTACCTATTTCCCCAGAGCTATTTCAATTATCATTTTTTATATGAATTTACGAAACAAAGAGGAATTCAATTTTAATAGCATTTGAGTGTTATGAAAGCATAGTTGTTATTTGGTTAAATCAAATTATATAGAGTTACATCGAACAATCCGTGCTTTTCTTGTGAACGCCCGCATATAAAGTATGTAAGTGGGTACAATAGAATGACGTTTTCAGGAGCATGCTTATGCTTGGTTCGTTTTTAAACACCCACACGAAGGCACACCTACAGTAATGATTGCAGACAGATATAAAGAGGGTTTTAATAACAAAATTAACCCTTTTAATCCCCTTCGAAAGAAGAATGAGAAGTCACATGGAAGGCAACGTGAATTCGCTTTAAAAATGTTCCCCTTTGCTTTTAACGTAAATTTTTAAAAATGTTTACGCGCATCGTCATAGCGTAAACAAGTTGCGTTAAAAATATCTCAAGAATAAGTCAGTCGAATTGACAGTATGATATACAATTGCAATATCTATACGTTTCGAAATGAAAATCATATTCGAAATACGTTTCAAATTTCCATTTCCATTTCCGGTTTTAAGCAGAATGTTCCCATATACCGAAATGAAAGCTCCGTAACGCAAGGGGTTCGGAAAAGATCTAGCAAATGCAGCGAAAACCACTAAGCCGACTGGCCAGCCACGATAACTTTAGCTCAGCTTCGTAAGGATAAGCTTATACTTCCTAGACTAACCACATTGGCATCTGTTTAGTTCAGATGGGGATTATTTGCCGCTTACTGCACTTTGAAGTATTTAATACGTTCGATTACCCGTCTGATAAAAACTTAATTGCTTTTAAACCCGATTACGGATGGGAAATTACGTGTATTCAGAAATAGTTTTCAGCGAAAGGTAATTAAATCACTACTCGGGTAATGGTTTTTTTAGTTATACCAGCAACGTAATCCTTTATAAAGCAAAAAATTAACGTGAGAAAAAAGGCATAATCTCACCGTGGATTTACATTTCTACGCCTCAAGAGAACGAACCTAAATTATTTTCTTAAATACGCTGCATCTAAAGAGGTTGTGTTGTAGTTTCAATCAGCACACGCCGCAAATTAAGATGGAGTTAATTCTCGGCTTAGAAGGTACAGCGATCTTTTTCGATTCACTCTGATTTTTCAGTAAAATATACAGATGCTTGTTGGGTTCCTTTCACAGGTGGTTAAATCAACTCATGTGCGACTTAAATTTGTACATAATCCGCAAGTCAGATTGATGATTTTTTATTATGAAAAAGCATCTTCTAAGCCGACTAGTCTCAGACTGAAATGTCTTTTATAACGGGCCGTGTTGCATGCATTTTTTTAAAATTTTATATACATAGTGAATTTAATTATCACTCATTAGCATTACGCTAGTCATCCGTATTTTAAGTAATAGATAGATCACAAGTGAAGTTCGAAGGAATTTATGAATTTCATTCCTACCCCCAATGTTGAATTAACAAAACCCGAGTTACACTTGTAGCAAGTTACTTATAAATGAAATCATTTTATCGATTTGGCGTTAACGTTCTTATCTAACTATACACGAATCCATATGAGCACGGCTCGCAACGCGAGGGCTTTCTCTAATCCCTCGGACGTCACTAGACCACGAATACCGCTACAGATGCCGACCAAGTAAGGGCGCGAGTAATGGAGGAACCGGGATAACAAAGCTGGGAACCCTCACTCCAAATGCACGGGACCCCACACCATAGAAGCCGTGGCTGGAACCAACTGTGTCCGGAGGGGCAACGACAAGCTCACTAAGATCCACATTCACGACCTGCGACCCGCACCTCCTCCACCAACTCCGCCAGCCCCACCAGTTCCTGCTAGAGGGTCTTAATTTTCGGAAATCCTTATTAAGATGGATAAGGGCGGTCTCCTTTTTGTGTTATTAATTTTCTTAATTAATTTTATTAATGTCGTTGGTCTATGTGACGGCATGGATATTATTGTGCTAAACGAGAAAGCGGTCAAGGTTGTTTTTGTTTACATTTTATTTAACATAGACATTTCCGGGAATTTTGTTGGTCTTTATCTGTTATCAAATGTAAATGCTTAATTTAGTTGACAGGTGGATGTGATTTATCGCCTTTTCTGTGTAGTTATTAGAGATGAAATTTTATTTTTTCCTAGAATTTAAGTTTGGATTTATCTCTTAATGTCTGATAACAAATTGATTTAGGAAAATTAATCTACCTCTATTTTCTTGGCCTAATAACGTTCGTTGATAGGATACTTTTATTTCTCTCTTTGTTGTTAACTGTGTATGATTGGTTGTTGTAATTTTTATTATCGGAAGGAGGGTTTCGCCTTAAATAGGACGTTAACAAGAAAAGCGTCGCTTTCAGCCAAATTTGAAATCAGTTTTTTGCCTTAGTCAATGCAGAACTACGTTTCTTTGAAAATTTAAATCAGCTTTTTGCTACGTTCAGCACCGAGTTACGTTTCGTTAAAG